TAAAAGGTAATGAATTATTCATAATAAAAAACTTGGGGTTGTCTAATAAATTATTATAGAGAGAGAGCATGTCCGGACCCCCCAAAAAAGCATAAGCGGGCCTGAAAAACCCTCAAAACAATTTTGGGGGCTTGGCTCCTCAATGGGGAAGGGTCCTGGACCGTTTTTTGTTTTTGTTTTTTTTTTCTCGAAATTTGGCAGGTCCGGACCGTCTGGACCGAACGTCCGGATAACGTCCGGATTCCGGACCAAATCCGGACCGTCTGGACGGCGGTCCGGACGTCCGGATCGTAGCCATGCTTTTTTTTTTCTTTTTTCTTTTTTGTGAGGAATCCTTTTTTTTTTCTCTTTCTAAATTTCCTTTTTTTCCTGCCCCTCTCTGCGACAAAAAGCAAAGGAATAATATTATAATAAATTAATAAATTATATAATAATGATCTTTTTGGGAAGAAAAATATTCAGAAAATCTAATAAATTTAAAATCAGTGATGTGCTGAGTCTGCTGACTACTTTATGATCTTTATCCGATAATTAAATTTTTAATTTTAATACGATTTTAATACGTTTTTTTAATACAATTTCATGCTGTGTTGATCACACAGGGTAATGCTCCAGAATATGATGAAAGAAGGCAAAATTGTGCCAGCAGAGGTCACAGTAGGTCTCCTTCAGGCGGCGATGACAAAGAGCGGGAAGAGTAAATTTTTAATTGATGGTTTTCCAAGGGACGAGGAAAACCGACTAACATTTGAGAGAGTGGTGAGTTTGATTTTCGGTTTTTGCCTTTCATTGAATGACCTGCTCTTTCCTGTTTTTGCACTCTCCTTCTTTCTTTCGTTTTTTTTCTTTTTTTTTCCTTCTTTTTTTTTTCTGCCTCGATGTCTCTCTCTTGCCTTTCCTCCTCTCACATCTGGCAATTTTAAATAACCAGTGCATGGAACATGGATGGATGTATGGACTCTGGAGTCCATAATCAAAGGTATTGAAGTCCATAATCAAAGTTACTGACCTCATTTTCTTTTTTGACATTTTTGTTTGTTTGTTTGTTTGTTTGTTTGTTTTGATGTACTAACCATGTTATTGCCCCAACCAGACCTTCTACCTGTGTCCCTGTTGGTCTGGCTCTATCTGTCTATCTGTCTGTCATTCGGCCCATCTTTTTCGCTCCCATCCTTCTACCCCCCCCCCCCTCCCCCCTCTCTCTCTCTCTCTCTCTCTCTCTCTATCTATCTATCTATCTATCTATCTATCTATCTAAACATGCCCGAGCTTTACCCCTCACCGAAAAGTTGGGCGAAAACCCATTCCTCACAGCGACAAGGACGAAACCAATGTCCATGACCCAGAGGTGGGTCTCCCTGTGGGTCCGTTAAGCACAGGAAACGTTTTGCCCTTTCCTTGATCCTATGGAGTTCTGGTGAAACTGGGCAAGTTCAGTGCAAAGCACCCTTGTGGCCCCCCCCAAAGCCAACTCACACACACACACACACACACACACACACACACACACACACACAAATACACACACACACGCAAATACACACACCATCTCACGCACACATCATCATCTCACGCGCGCGCACACACACACACACACACACACACACACACCCATAATAGAGAATCTAGAAATAAAGTTTGACAAAATAATATTTTTTTTCATGCCCCGAAATAAAGGAAAAACAAAACGTGAAAAGAGAGAAAAAACAAATTAGTGAGTGAGCAAGCAAGTTTTGACACCACCATCTTTGCCGATTTGTAATTTTTGTTTGGATGAATAGAATGGCTTCAAAATTAAGACGGAGATACCTTACATCACAAAGAACACAAAAAAAAAAAATCAGAAAAAAAAAATAATATTTAGGTGCCCAAATAATTTTTGGCGGGGTCCGAACCCCTTCAGGTTCGGGGCCCCGTATGGGGACCCGAACGCCCGAACGTTCGGGGGTCAGGTTAGGGGCCTCCGTACGCTCGGCCTGGCAACCCTGTAAATACATATATATATATATATATATGACGATATATATATATATATATCGTCACAAACAGAACTGCCCGGTAAACCGTAGGCAGAGAGAGAGAAGAGGACAACAAACGAGGGGCTGTGGCAAACTATATATATATATCAATTTCGGTTCTCTTCCCCTATTAATTTTGTTTGCACCGAACTTTGCGGGCAGTAATAGTTGTGCAGAGGCTGGTCCATCTTCCTTTAGCGTTCCCCCTGCCCCCTTGGCCTCTCGTCCATGTCTCTGTGTCTTCCTCCAACTCTCTCCTTATGCATAGTTGCTCGCTCCTTCGAGTAGACAGAACTTGGAGGAGTGTTATGATACGACAAAATGCCATTGTGGGAGTACATAAATGCCATTATGGGAATACATAAACGCAAGTTGTTTTCCTTTGGAACTTGCAGAGCGTGATGGATTGGGTTTAGGGCTCTTGGTATCTTGCAACTACTGTCTTCCTCTGAACAAAAGACACCTTGATTATGAAATTATATGAATGTATAGAAGCTATTTTTCGGGTTGAATACAGTCATGATCATCGATCAGGGTGTGTTAAGTTCGAGGGAAGACAGTAGGTATGGGGTATCATGATATTATTCATCCCCTTTGTGAACATTTTGCTCATCTGTTCCCACCAGGAGTTTCAGCCCGAACATACCGCACCCTCATCATGTCTGTAACAACTGCAAAATAGATTCTATATGTTCATAATAAGCGTGTATTGTGCTTGATTGCAGCTTGCCCATTGGCATGGTTATGCTGTCCTCCTCGTCTGTGACTAACTCTCTCTATTTTATTTATTTATTTATTTTTTTATTTTTTTTTCAATCACAGCCAGCAACTGTTCTCAGCAATATGGTTAACAACTTCACACATCCAGCAGCTGGTCTCAGCAATATGGTTAACAAGTTAACAGTATGGTGATAACAAGTTAACAGTATGGTTAACAACTTAACAACTTAACACATCGAGCAACCGGTCTCAGCTTAACAACTTATGGTTAAGAACTTAACAGTATGGTTAACACATCCAGAAACTGGTCTCAGCAATACGGTTAACACATCCAGCAATTGTGGTCAGCTCTGCTTTTCGTTCTCGTTTCTCGCCTCTCCTCGTGTGTGCCATCCTCTGCCATCCTCACCTCTATTTCGCTTCAGCGGCCATCCTCACATGTGTTTCGCCTCACCAAGCGCCATCCTCATCTCTCTTTCTCCTCATCTGCCGCCGTCGCATCTCTCTTTCTTCTCATCTGCTCTTCTCTGGTTGGCATTTTGACTTCGTTCCCAGATCTGTGAGTCCTTCCTGGTCAGGGTTTAGGGTTTAGGGTCTGGTTTGAAATCTGGACAATGACGGGGGTGCTTCATGGATGGGCAAGGGACTCTGATTGGACTTATTGGATGACTCTGATTAGACTGACTGAATTGCCCATGGGAGTCTGATTGGATGGGCATTGGGGTCTGATTGGGGTCTGATTGGATGGGCATGGCCGTCTGATTGGATAAGCATTGGAACCTGCTTCAGATATGTGGGTTCATTGCACACACACACACAGACACACACACGCACACCCGCACACCCCCACACCCACCCGCACACCCGCCCGCCCGCACGCCCACACCCACACCCACACACACACACACACACACACACACACACACACACACACAAGCTCATTTTTATTAATAATATTAATAATTAATAAAATTGATAATGAATAATAATTAATAATCAATAATAATGATTAAAATTATAAATTAAAATAAATAATGATTAAGAAATAAAAAGAAAATTAAAATAATAATAATAATAATAAAATAAATAATAATAGAAAAATAACAGGTTTTGATTTTGATTTTTAAATAAGATAAAATATAACATATGAAAAAAATAAAATTAAAAATTGAAAATGCATACACACACATACACACACATCAACTCCCAGATTTTATAAGTAGCAGTAATAATAAATTAAATCAATAAAGACAATAATATAGCAATTTTTTTAATTAAAAAATAAATAATAAATATTAAACAATTAAATTGTTTTATTAAAAAAAAGATAAAAATAAAAATAAAAATAAAAATAAAAAGCAAAAACAAAAACAAAAAATCAAAGCTTGCCTAGGCTACCAGCCGGGCTGCCCGGGGCACCTTGTGTTGCCCGTGCGGATGGTCCCAGCAAAAAAAAAAAACAAAAGAACAATCCCAAAAAATCCGAAAAAAAAGTATGTTATGCAGAAAAATAAACAGAACAACTTTTGCCTCAAGGTCATATCGAAATTATTTACCAATATAAAAATAAAAATAAAAATTGAAAAATAAAATTTTATTTTTATTATTTTAATCCTTTTTGGCCCGGCCGGGCAAGTGGTCCCGGGCCACTCTGGTAGCCTAGAAGCTTGCTAGATATGTAAATAGTAAAATAATAAAATAATAATAGTAATAAAATAAAAATAAATAATTTAGTAATTAACAACAATATATTAAAATAAAATAAATAAAAATAAATATAAAATATAAAATATAAAAATAAGATAGAAATAAAATAAAAATAGAAATACGTGGCATTTTTAAATAAAGAAATAAGCTAAAATTATTGCACAATACTTATTAAAAGAATATCCAAAAAAAAAAAGAATGGAAAAAACTTCTTACCACACATACATGCCACAAAACTCGAACTTCATATCGAATAGACATGCTATACAGAAAGCCCATTCCATATTCTCAGAAATACATGTCACCCACACTACCTGCAACTAAACCGACACCCACAACACATTAACAACACACGAGAAGTAACCCAGTTACCAGTTATGGGACAAAAGCAAAACAACGCCAGCACCCAATCCACCACACACAAAAAGAAGTAACCTCCGAAAAAAAAAAAATCCCGCGCGGACCAAGCAAAACGACACCCGCGCCAAGCAAAACGAATAAACAAAACAGCGTCGTCATCACAACCTAAAGACACGACTGATTGCACTCACGACAACAACATAAGCAACATGCCGAACGGATCCCAATCCACCGACGATTACGCACTCACGCCATAGCCATTTCAAAACTAAAACGACAAGACAACACAGAAAATGCTGAATACTTGCATGCTAATAAGACAAAAAAAGCACATGCACTGAACAAACACGAAGCATGGAAAACGTCACTTCACACAGGCCTACTACGTCACTTCACACAGGCCTACTACCCCCACTTCCCTCCGCTTCATGAAGAACCCTCGCATCCAACCCCCCCTCGGATTTGCCGCCACGCTCCCCACCACATATGCATGCACCATAATTATACCTTAGACACCCACCATACTTCAAAGAAATACGAACCCTTCAAGAACCACTATGCATGCACCATAATTATACCTTAGACACCCACCATACTTCAAAGAAATGCGAACCCTTCAAGAACCACTACAATGCTAGCAAGATATAATATATACTACAGCTGCATGCAGCATCTACAGCAAGGCAATGTTGCAATACTTGGCGCTCACTCTCCTCTTTGCAGGATTCACCTCTCCAAAACACTGCAGCTGACTCGTCCTCACATACGCTCGTGTACCGAGCAAGCACGAGCAACCTAGTGCTCGTGGACCTACAGTGCCATCGCTAACTACCTAATCCCCTCCTTCCAGCTCTGCGCTCCATTGCGTTCTTCGAGCGGCCTAACTCACAAGAGGGAGGATGGCGTCCATTGAAGAGATTTTGTCTTCACAGGCTTTCCGCTCACAGGTATGGGTTCACATACCCCTGACCTGCAAACTAACATGGAGCTACATCCCTCTGACGAGCCGCTATGGGTGCTAAGCGGCGAAAAGCGCGCTTCAGGGGGTGCATCCCTATGGCTGTCCTCAACAGCCATCGCTATTACCAAAATGCTCCCCCATAACCTAAATCACAAACCCCTCTTGCATCCTCACAGATGAGCTGATGAGTTGATGGCTAAAACACCCACTATGTTTAAACTGCTGCTAACCTGTCGTGATATGACAGATGTGATGTTCTTGTTTCCCGTATATACGGGGTGGCCGTGTTTACACACACCCACTACACACACACACACACACACATACACACACACACACACACACACAGAGAGAGAGAGAGAGAGAGAGA